CTGCCTGCACTGCTTCTCCCCCTGTTTTGTTTATAAGGTAATTAGGGAGAAAAAGTGTGCTTTCTTTTCATAGATCTATTCAGTTTTTTATAATTAGAATATGGTTTTTGGTAAAGATTCTGATTTGCAATGTGTTTATTTTAGATACTGAAATCAGAAGGATATTAATTTTTCAGAGATTTATTTCTTAATGCTTTTTTCATTCCTATGTTGGTTTTGTGATTTTACTGTACTGCAAGCAGTAAAGAAGAAGAATTAGGAAGGGATAAAAATATGATCTAAGGAAGTAGTTGGCTGAGTTGGTTAGTGTCTAAATGAAACTAAAGCTTTTGCCTTCTGAAGTAACTTAGAGATGTTTTATGGGAAAAAGCGTTTGTTTTCACCTTCACAAATATATTAAGTACTTTGAGTTACTTTCAGTTAAAGAAAAACTCTAGTTTACCAATTAGTGTTTGCCAAGAGTAAGTAATGAATTTATCAACATACTGCAATAAAAAATCCTTGACTGGCAGGGAGATGGAATAGTTGACCCTATTATTTTCAACTTGAAATTATCTAACATTGTGGTATGCAAATACAAAAGCAAAGGAACTGAAATGCCTGAGCTCTTGCATGACAACTGAAAAATAGACATTCACAATGAATGTTAGATGTATGCCCTTTTCAGGATGACATTTGTTTAGTACAAAACTGAATGAGGAAAACGTTGTGGCACAGCTACTTTGTTCTGTCCAGCAATATGGGGTTGTAAGGATTGCTGAAAACACAGGGAGAGAGCCATGGATTCAGAATATTAAAGCACACTAGTATCACTTGTGATGCCAGTAATAGTGTCTACTGCCAATTCAGGAACCAAAGGGTGTGAAGAATTCTGTGAAGAGCTAAGAAGATTTATCTAGTGAAGACTGCTGAAACAAGATGACGTCCATTTCCCAAGTCCTAAGAAATTTGGGTTGACAGGCTAACTGAAAAGGTAGCCTCAGGGAAAAGCTTGCATTCAGGGCATGAGGTTAACTGAGGAGAAGACAGGTCTAAAACTGAGGCATATGACTTCACCGTACAAAATTTGATTTTACAGAGAACCATTCTGGGAGAGAATCAGAAGCTAGAGGGCTGGTGATACAAGAATATTTTTGTAGGCTCTTTTGTGATCAAGTATCTGCACGATTATAAAAACTTAGATTGTAATTTAAAACACACAGCTTGGGAAAAATATTTGCCATGCCTATATAACACTAAAAAATAAAGTGGCAAAGAGATGCAGATATAACAAAAGTCCAAGAAAACAATAGCAAGGTTCGTTAAATCACTGCATATCCGGACAATTCCAGGTCATTTCACTAGCATCACTTGCGTCAGTATGTCAGGGAGGCAAGACTGGGACTTCCATCTCTTGACAAGATTTAGTGCAGTTTGCCAATTTGGTCATCGTCACCTTCCCTTGCTCATGTTAATTGTCACTATTTTCCTTTTTAAGAGACTTGTTCTACTATGTGCTCAGCACAGAGCACAGTCCTTGAGTTGAAGAATTTTACTCCAGGGAAAAGAGACTGAATAGGGACCATGAGCAAAGCTGAGAGGAAACAGTGGCTGGGTAACTGTTTTGGTTTTTAAATACTTAATACTACTACTAAAGTTGCTGAAGTTATTATAGGCAGTTCAAAGAATTGAGTCGGTGAAGGATTTAAATGAGGGAAGGGAAGTGACTTGATGAATCTGAGAAGGAGCAAGTGTATGAGCAGTGAGTAGGCTGCAGCTGAAGAGGTACTAAATAGGATCTACATAACAAGCAGAGCTAGAAGTAGTAAGAGCCAAATGAAGATGTATAGAAAAGAAACAAGTATAGAGACCCTAGAAACTGGATATGGATATATTATAAGGAAATAAATGGAACTTATGTCACAAACAAATGGTACTGTGAGAAGAACATGTGCAATTAATGTATAAAGTAACATGTTCTTTAAGAATTTCTATATAGCATGTGTGTGAAATTCAGCAAACTCTTGAACCATGGATTATTTCCTGGTAGAAGCCACTTAATTATGTTTTTATGAAATTAAAGATGGTTAAAGCTAGATTCTGAGAAGCTTAATAACATTTAAGTATTGTCTTATTCCCATGCCCCATGCTGACAGAAGATGTATTAGCACAAATAATAACGGTATTATTTCTGCTTACACTGTGAAATGAGTATTTGTCAGGCTGATTGGAGAAGGCAAAACCTGCCCCCTTTTTACTGGGTTTAAAAGCTTTTAGGCCCTCCAATAAATTTAATTAAAAAATTAATCTATTATAGTTATCTAGTCAACTTTGTGTAGTGATTTACAATCTTTATGAGAAAAGAATCAAGGGTACTATGAAATTGGATCTTTTTTCTGTGGTCTATTTATGCAAAATGTTATCTAGTGTATTTAGTCACTTACAGACTCCTGATAATACTAACAGCATGATTTTCTGCGGGCCAAATTTGTTTCCTGGTGTGTTACTTCTATTTGAAGTTTATAAAAGACAGTTCACAACATACTTAGCTGTTTTCTAGGAAAAAAAAAGTTGCTGCCCATAAAAAGGGAGGAAAATATAGTAAAAATTCCAGATAAATCCCTCTAACAAATATTTGCAAGAAAACTAAGTTACATTTTACACATTCTTTAAAAAAGAAATTACTTTTATTTGTATTTCTTAATAAGTGCTTCCCAGATAAATGATGTGTGGTTGGAGCACTTTAAGTCCTATGGAGAAGGATCATCTGCCCTGACGGATTATGTTTTAATGCTTTTGTCCACAGAAAAGCTAGACCTAAATTATATTTAATAGTCTGAGACAGAGCCACATTCAGTTTGGAGTTGCAAAGGGTACAGTAACTAACTATTAGGGGCTTCATTGCATTTGGAGACAGCTGATTAAATCAATAAACTGCATTTATTGGGACAATAGTGCCAAATACTTTTAATAAATATTTATTTGTGTCAATTACTAGGACTCACTAGTTTGGTCATTTTCTTTAAAAGTAGAATAATAAATACACAAGGCAATAGTTAGATGACCTAACTGAAAATGCATGCATTCTTGCATTTCTTGTGCATGAAAAAAAATTTGTCAGACAAAGAAAATTATTTTAGACATTAAATAGCCTTTCCTTAGTTCCATTTCAACAAAATTAGCCCACATGAGCGTTTCTTACTAAATTTTGTTTTACATGCAATTGTCATTTTGTCTGCAGTTCTTGCAATTTATATTTCACTTATTAGCTTAATCAGCTATTTTTTCAAAGGGGCAGCATCACAGCAGTGATTCAGTTATTTTAAAAACAAAAAAACGAGAGAATTGTAAAGTCATTTAGCAATGGGATTTGTATCTGAAGTATGCAGATAGACTTCACAAATTGGGGTTTTGGTAGACTTTAGATAAGTCTAGAAAGTGTTTGAAACCAGCTAATCTCAAAATGTCTTAATGATACCAATGTGCTCAGAAATATCCTGGTTGGGATGTGAGAGCTGAGCACATAAGCTCCATCGTTAGGGATTAATAGAAAGATGCCTCACTTCTGGTTAACTATGTTGAAAAGCCATTTGTGGTCCTATCATGACCAACCCTTATCACTCTGTGAGAAATGCCATATCAATGACAAAATGCTGGCATCACCACGTGTTAAGTACTCTTGGTGGGAAAACCTGCCAGTGCATTTGCTGAAGTGAGGCCCCTCTACGCTGAAAAAGGCAGGTTGCCTGGAGTCAGAAGGAAAGCAGGGAGTCTGGTGCTTACACCCCTGTCATTCGGGCATTCTTTGGTGGCAGGGGCAGTGCTGGAGTTCCAGTCTCTGCTTTTGGTGTTGCCTCATTTATTACTGTGTTGTTATTATAAAATGCGTGAATGTTTCTGGGGCTGCACAGTTCATCCAGATACCCCTTCTGCTAATTAGATGCCACATCTTCTGGGCAACTGATTATATACCGTTGGATGTTCTGCAGTATTCGATGGTATATAACTGATCAGTCATCTGTAATACCCTAATATTATCAGCAGTATTACCTATATAGTTACTAATAGAACAATTTTGCTGGTTTTCATGTGTTTTATATTCAGTAGGTCACTAAGTTCTCTAAATCAGAGAGATACAATAACTGAATTGCTGAGACCTTCCATTGTCACAGTAGAAGGAGTTGAAAACAAGCATACAAGGATTTTATTGTACAGCATAGATCTCTTCTTCTCCAGTGAAGCTCATTTTGCACTAGTGAAGTAGAGCTTCATTATCTATTCTAGTATCCAGAAGATTCTGGGCTTTTTCTTTCCTTTCAGTACTTTCTGTGTTTAAAATTTGCTTTTGCTAAAGAAACTGTACCCCAAATCCCACTGGAAACAGTCTCATTACTCCTCTCATGTAGTAGCTAGGCAACTGGCAACAAGATCTTTTGCACAGATACAAGCATTTGTCCTTTTTTTCTGATTTTCTGGGAAGAAGAGTAAAAGGAGCCAGTGTGCAGCAGGGATTTAGCAGTAAAGAGAGCAGACAGGTGATTGTCCTTCCGGGTTACAGCCATATTAAATTTCTACACTGATATATATACACAAATTCAAGAGGGGAAGGTAACTTCTGAAGAGAAACACAAAGATCCATGAGTCCCTGTTGGTCCCTTTTTACTCAGATTTACAAAATTAGAGAGACCTACTGATAGATTATAGAGGCTTTAGAAGACAGTAGCTGTTAGAAATACATAAGCAAACTTTGTACATAAAGGCTGTCAATACTTTGGAACAATGAAATTGTTTTCACAGTGTATTTTTATATTTGTTCAGCTTGGCTTTCTGGAACCTGACATGGTTCACTTCTGTTAGAAAGGTGTTATGGATCTTCCTGCAAGAGCAACAAACAGAGAAAATAACTTCTCAGTATGCGTAGTGTTCGGATTAAAAGTATTCAGCTGTATCAGTTGAGAAAGCCATATGATTTTACTGTTAAGTTTTCAAATAAGTAACTTCATATGTTTGTTGTATCACAGGTACAGGAATGGCTGTGCTTAAACTGCCAGACCCAAAGGGCAATGTCAGGACAACTTGGGGATATGGGCAAGGTGCCACTTCCGAAAGCAGGCCCTTCACAACCAGTATCCAAACCACCTGCTGCTCCTCAAAAACAGCCGATGCCTGCTGTCTCACATTCCCCTCAGAAGACTTCCACACCGCCTACTCCAGCAGCAGCAAAACCGAAAGAAGAACCAGGCGTTCAGAAGGAAGTTCCAAAACTTCAGCAGGGGAGACTGGAAAAAACATTGTCAGCTGATAAAATCCAACAAGGAATTCAAAAAGAAGATGCAAAACTTAAGCAGGGGAAACTTGTCAAGACACCCTCAGCTGATAAAATCCAACGTGTTTCTCAGAAGGAAGACCCAAGACTCCAGCAAACAAAACTGACAAAGGCAGCCTCATCTGATAAGATTTTACATGGAGTTCAGAAGGAGGATGCAAAATTTCAAGAGGCAAAACTGGCAAAAACATCCTCAGCTGATAAAATTTTGCATGGAGTCCAGAAGGAAGACATAAAACTTCAAGAGGCAAAACTGGCAAAGATACCCTCAGCTGACAAAATTTTACATGGAATTCAGAAAGAAGACCCAAAACTCCAACAGATGAAAATGGCAAAAGCACTATCAGCTGACAAAATCCAACCTGCAGCTCAGAAGGAAGATGCACAACGTCAGGAGGTCCAGTTGTCAAAGGCAGTTTCAGGTGATAAAATCCAACATGGAATTCAGAAAGAAGATCCAAAACTTCAGCATGAGAAAATCATGAAAACTTCATCAGTGGAGAAAATCCAACAGGAAGCTCAAAAAGAAGAACCAAAACTTCAGCAAGGGAAACTGTCAAAGACACTTTCAGCAGATAAAATTCCTGCAACAATAAGTTCAGACCAAAAGAAACCCCTAAGCACATTGGAAGAAGATAAAAAACCTGTGCTCCCAGAAAAGAGCACTTCACATCCAGAGGACAAAAAAGAACAAATTACAGCTGAGTCTAAAGATCGTGTTGCTGAACAGAAAGCAGAAGCTGAAGCACCTTATAAGGAACCGCAAGCTAAGAAGGAAGAGGATGTTAAGAAAGAGGGTTTGATAACTGGGATTTCACAAACGGTTTTGAAAGCTGAAAAAGCTCAGGAAGAAGAAATTCCTGTTCAAAAAGCACCTTTGCCAGGAACTGACCATGTGGAAGCAGTGAAAGAAAAAATAGTAAGTGGCTTTCTCACTCCCACCCCCCTTCTGCCTTGCTACAGTTTAGAATCTGATCCTGACAGACCCTTTCCTTTATGTCTTGCTGCTCTTTATTGTTATTCGCAGTATAGGATGATTCTAAATTATAAAGTCAATCCCTCCTGTTGAGTGAAAGTTTCACCAGATAGTCCTACGATCTAGATGCAACTTTTCAGTACTTCTTGCATGATTTTCTGTCTCAAGCAGTTAAGCATTTGAAACTAAGACAAAGTTCCTGTTTAATCATTTTTCCAATATTTCTGATTTATTTAGCTGCTTCTGTAGACTCTCCAGACTTTGGAGTTTAATTGTTGAAATTGGAATGTTTTCATAGTTCTTAATCAGAAAAGTAAATAATCTGTGATGGTAAGGTGTGCAGTGTTTTGCAATACCAAAATATAATAAACATTTGAGGAATACTTTGTGATGCCTGAACATGGTATGTTAAAGTATGCAATCTTTACATCTTTTTACTATTTCATTTGCCTGTCTCATATGGACAAGTACTTTTAGGTAGGGTTCTTGGTGGGCTCTCATCATCAAGTCAGATGAATGGATGAGTTTATGATAGCATGTACTAGAGGTCTGCATTTCTTAAATAAATGTGTTTGCTGGATTGTGAAGTCACCAACAAGTCAATCAGTTGAAGTGGGTAATATACACAATTTGCTAAAAAATGAAAAATGATGGTGTTTTATATCAGCATTGAAAATTAGGTGCTGATTATTATGTTATGAAAGTAGGAGTAGGTTTAGGAAAAGTGTTTAACCTTTGCCAAAATGATGTTTTCAAATAATCCCAGTCAAAAAGGTCAAGGGTGTTGTTTTTTTTTTTTATTGGGTTTTTTTAGTTTTGTTTTTTCCCATGGTGGTAACCAAGTTATTTGGACAGAAAAAATATTCTGAATCAGAAATTGTACTGTGGAAAATGGTACTGTTTTTATAAACCAAGTTTCCTGTCTGAAATATATCTCCTACCACATGTTGTGTTTCCTCCTCTTGATGGTATCAAGAGGTATAGTATCCCCTGATTGTAGCAAGGGAATCTCTGAATTATGCTCAGAGTAACATAGACAGAAATACTCCCTTCTGTAAGAAACTGGAAGGAGATCTAAGAAAATCCTATATCAATTTGATTATATCGTATCAAACATAAGACATTATTGCAGGACTTTCCAAGAAGAATAAGCTTAATTTTAGTTAACAAAATGTCACTTCTGGGGATTTTTTTAAATTCATATCAGAAAACCTAAGAAGTAGAATTAGAATTTTGTTACTGTTGTTAAAAATTTGGGGTTTTTTTTCTGTTGAAAAACATTTATAAGGGAAAATTTTCATCACATGCTAGTCTCAGTCCTGTCTGGTCATTTTTATGTTCTATAGGGAGGTAAATGCATATTATACTGTGGACAAATCCAAGATACATTGAATTTCCATCTCTGATAGCGACAGGTTTTAATCGTAGATTAATTAGTGATTTCTAATGTGGTGCACACATGTATTTCACTCTTATTTCACGTATATTTTACTTTCTTCCACTGCTTTCTAACTGAAATCAGGACTTCTTGAGTTAATACCATAAATAAGGATTATCTTTCTTTTGCTCTTATCAGACTTTGAAGCACACTTAGCTAAAGTTTGTAAAGCAGAAGTTTCATGAATAAAAATCCCAAACCCACAAACGCCATATATATCCACTTTTAAGTATTTTTAAAATTAGAACACTCTGCAATACAAACCAGAATTGAAAGAATGAAAAAGGAATAGCTATTTTTACACAAAAAAAAGACTTTTTTTCCCCATTTTTTTCCCCCTTTTTTGGTCCTTGGAAAAATCCTAACAAAAAAAAAAAGAGCAGCTCAAATCGTTCAGAATTAAAAATAAAGCTGGTGTCTAGCTTGTACTTTATAAAAATAACTCTTTTTTATTATTTTTAGTTATTGAAGTATTTTAATATTCTCCATGGTGGGCATCAAACATTATTAGATACAATTCTTCCCAAGAGAGCATGTGACAGAAGTGGAAGAGGAGATAACAATTTAGCTATCACACATTGATTCCATATCAGTGGGTAAAGGACAATATCTAGACTTTGAAGAATATATTTTACATGTATTTCAGGACAGAATCATATAAAGGAGTTCAGGTAGGTGTATTTTTAAACAGGGATGCAAGGGAAAACCTAATACTTTCTGCACTTGACAAACTGCTGATGCCATGTTATATCCAAAACTGTGCAAATGGTAATTACTAACTCTTGTGGTATTCCAATGAGATAAGTAAATAATACTATCCTCATTTTTCACTAAAAAAAAAAAAAAGACAGCAACACCCCAACAAGTCCCTAAAGACATGGAGAGGCTAAAGTTGTGATCCAGTAAAATCAGTAGAATGATCCTTGGAAAATCACAGGTATCAATTGTATTTACAGATCTAGCATCCTTTGAAACAAAAGTGACTTATATATTGAAACATTTTTAAATATTTGGGCTCAAAGTATGATTTAAGGTATCATAAAGCCATTTTTTTCTTCAAAACATTCTTTTTTCAGTAATATTTTAAACTGTAATTTCTTCAAAAAGATTTTAAAGAATAAACTGACTTTGCTCATGATTTACAGGACCCTTTCCTGAGATATCATCTTGTAATACTGACTATTCACATGTGCAATAGCAGTTAGCTGTTCTAACAGGGATGCCTAGAAATCTTGGATGATTATGACGTACAGTCTATCAGTATAACACAGTCATCTTGGAACTCACAAATTAACATATAAGCAGTTCAGCACATCTACATGAACACATTACCATGGTGTAAATTGGACATATATTTACAACACATCAGCTGCATTATGTAAGTGCCCTTACTATTACCTTCTTATGTTTACTGCGGAATGATCGTGTGCTTAGGTTGAGTAACCAGGTAGAAATTAATACATTGTAAATTGACATAATTATATTAACACATGCCATTAATTACAAAACACAGACCAGGGAGCCACAATAAGGAGGAGAAGGCTTATCTGTAAGCAGTTTTTCTGGGCACAAATAAAATGTTTCATTTTAATAATATAAAATTCAACTACAGATTAAACAGTTTAGTCAACCAAAATCTTTTTTTCACTCTGAAACTTTTTTTTTAGATAATGTAGATATCTTTATTTCTTCTATAAACAGAATGACCTTTTAAAAATCATGAGTTCCTTTGCAAATAAAATTTCTGTTCTGTGCAACAGAATGTAATCTTGCTAGCTTTAAATAATTTTTAAAAGTGACAAGACTATTTTTTTTTAAATCACAGTTTTCTTTTAACAGAGTTCTGACTGAATTTGATAACCAATGGGACTTTTTAAAGCACTAAGTTTTATATTTTGAAATAAGAATATTAAAAGTGAGGAAGTGTAAGAATAAATAATACTTTTAAAGCAAAAACTTCTAATGCAAAATAGATTTATGATGTATTGACATTGACACTGTAGAAGAGCCACTAGGATGTTACAAATACATCCTACATTAAATTATTTTTACCATTAATTAAAGAGTTTGCATTCTCTGTTTTTAAACTGTCTTATCCAGCCCGCCGCTTTTATAAGTCTCCTTGTTCCTCATGTCTCAAGGAGATCCTCCCATCAATGTCTGTATTAGAGTTAAATTTGTCCAGTATTAAAAACTCACAGTAGGCAAACTTTCAGAACAAATACCATTCAACTACTCAGAAAGGCCCAGTAATTCAACATGTACCAAAGTACTTCCACTTCGCAAGAAAAAAGTAGGGTTTTTTTCTTGTTGATTAAAATATATTTTTCATTCTCCAAGAGTTGTTGAATATATATATGATCCTCAGCAGCATTGTTTATGCAATATTTTGTTATTCACCTAAAGATCTTATGTTTATGGTATGTTTACAAGTCTGGCAATGATGCTGTCTTTGTGTATGTGATGGCCCGCCCTGTAGAAAATAAATTACCAGTCATTTAAGAATAGGTGTGGCTAATGACAATATCCCAATTCACAGCCTGTAGGAAATAGGGAAGAAAAGCATAAAGACCAAATATTATTTGGTTACATTTTGGATCTTGAAACATGATGTGCAGGAAAATTTTTGCATGATGTATCATGCGACAGACAAGTATAGATAGAAAATATATTCATATTGTGGTAGCCTTGAAAAGAAAGTTGGATTTTGCCATCATTTTTATTTCTAGTGATAAAGGAAGTCCCTCTTTATTGTAGATCTTTTTCTTCTCCTTACTGTACAAATAGTCTTTCCCATATTCAGTTTCCTATTATTCATAGCAGTGCTGTTATGTCATACACTGAGGTTCAACAACAGAGCAGGCAATAGCAATATTCCTTGCCATCGCCTCTGGTTTGGTCATTGAGTAGGTACTACACATTGGACTCACAGATAGTGGCACCATCACAAATTACAAGGAGAATGGCTGCAGTTGTTCCATGAGCAGTTGTTGTCTACCTATTTCTGAGCTTAACTGTTTTTAACTGCTTAGTTGACACCTTCTGTCTCTGCTTTACAAGTCACTGTATCACTACATCTCCCTGTGGAGAACCAAGATCTGACAGAGTCACTTTCAGTAGATGGATGCAATCTGTACGTCTACTCCTAGGAGACCTTCTGAGCTTGAACAATGTTTGGATTTTCTAGTAGATTACCAAAATTGATCAGTGTGTTTGGTTGGGTATGTCTTTATAAGTATGAACATATTGGAAATAAAATAAAAAATAACAATCAAATGTCATAGGTGAAATTTTAGTGAGTGGCATAATATTTCTAGGTAGAAGAATCCTTTGGTTTAATGAAATGCATATTTTTTTTTAAAACATAGGCCAATAAGTTCCCCTTAAACAGTTTATTCTTTAATAAAGGGAAGGAAAATGTAAATATAACATATGAAACCTAAGTTTTTTAACTATGCTTCATTGCTGACTCTTTATGAAGAGTATATATAATTCTGTCATTAAGGGCTGGAGAATATCCAAGAGTACATTTTTCAGAATAATAAGTGCTGAAGTGCTTAAGTGGTGATGACTTCCCAAAGTTGTTTGGAGTACTATAGGTTTCCCCATATTTATATATTAATCACAATCTTATCATTAGAGTTGTCCTTAGAAATATTTGTTTTCATATTTGATATTTAATTGCAATGGATTTTGCTCTCATATCAGATATTTGGATTTATCATATTGGGTACAATATAGTTAAGAACAGATGTAGTTTATATTCATGTTAGTATCTGATTTTGCAGATAATAAATCACTCCTGTAAAATAGAGATTCCTTAATATAATATTAATTAGTAGATTACTGTAATATTAATATTAGTGTTTTAATGTAGGGTTATGTGCACATTGATTTGCCTATAGGCAAGAATGGGTATTTTAAATGTAAATTAAATAATGAAAAAAACTGACTGGTTTTTAGAAATAAAATAACTAACGATAGCAAATATTTGGTTTATGATATTTTGGCATTAAATATAACTTTAGTGTGAATAAACATTTGAAAATACTTGTAATTGATAGCAACTTAACTTGACTGTAAATGTACCTTTAAATTAAAATTAACCATTGTCATAGTTTTCCTAATATATTTATTCCACGGTATTTTTTTTTAACTCAGCATATTGCCAAGGAAGTTGATAAATTAAACCTTTAAATAAATGGGCTGCTGTACTGCTGAAATCATTGACTTAGATTAGCAAAGTTGATAAATACTACCTACTTGTATTATTGAGGGCCATAACAAATATGAAGATCACTTCATATTATTAAAATCACGAGACTTTGGGCTGCTTGTTCTCAAATTGCTAGTGGAGGTGGGGACACTTCGTAAGATTGTCAGCTAAGATGACCTGTCATTTGGAGAGTGAGCTGTTTTGTTAGCGGAATGGTGAGGTACTTTCACTAAGTGCAGAGCATTTCACAGTTGAGAGAAGCAGGAGGGAAACTCTGGTGTGGTAAAACTTGCTGTAGGATATTCTTGGTATTTTTGTTATCTAAAGGAGGAGATAGAGGTGCTTGTCATTCAGAATGGTGTAGAAGGATCTGGAAGCTAGGAGAACAACTAAGTGTGTTTAATTAAGGATGAGAAGGAAAACATTGGTTATGATGCCCAGTTAGGTATGCCTGCCTTGTTTGCTTCCTTATTTCTTTTTATTAATAGCTGACTCTCATGCTTTCCTCCCTGCAATTACGTTTCCCTACCAGCAGCTTACCTCCGCATTACAAATTTACGGAGAAACTTCTTTTTTATGAGTTACTCAGAAAATGTTCGTACGGTGCCAAACTGCAGATATGGGGACATTCCAAATTGCATTAAATCATGCTTCAATACTCCACGTATTCAGTTGCATGTTACAATGTGTAACAGTTAAATCAACAAAATGAAACCATAGGTCCAAAATTTGAGAAGATTGACATATTTCTAGACAATTATAAAAGATTAAATGGGCAAAGAAATGAGCAGACCCCAGAAATACTACAGACTGACGTTTGGCAAGCTATATTACTTTGTATCTAGAACTATGTAGGCAGTTTTGAAACATAGGTAATTAAAATCCTCATTTACATTAACTCCCAAATAACTTGTCCCCTGCACATGTGAGCAAATGATTGATTATGATTAGTAAGTCTTCTGAAAACAATTAAATACAGTATTTGTTTATACTGAAAAAGAGAAGATCATCTTACCACTGATAAAATCAGTTGCCAGTGTGGACAGCCATGCAAAGCATAGTTAGATTCAATGCAAAAACTCAAAATTTGAGGAAATTTGTGTATTATTTTAATAGCTTTGAATACCAAAATCAGTGTTCAGTCCTTTATGGTTTAATATAATTCTTCTTGGCATCATAATTTTTCATCTGAGACATTAACTCATCTTTTAGAAAAAGATCACATGTATTTAATTGCCTGGAGACATTAAGAATTTATATATAAATATATACACACGCGTATGTATTTATTTTTTTAGGAAAAGGAGGATGACAAATCAGACACATCAAGCTCTCAGCAACAGAAAAGTCCACAAGGTCTGAGCGACACCGGGTATTCTTCTGATGGGATATCAAGTTCACTTGGTGAAATTCCAAGTCATATCCCCAGTGATGAAAAGGATTTACTCAGAGAATCTAATAAAAAAGACACTATTTCACAAGAAAGTCCACCAAGCCCCTCGGATCTAGCTAAATTGGAAAGTACTGTACTGTCTATTTTGGAAGCTCAGGCAAGTACGCTTTCTGATGAAAAAGCTGCAAAAAGTAAAGAGCTTTATGAAACGTACAGTGAACAGACAAAGGATCATCATAAAACAAAGCCTTTGCCAGTCACTCCAGAATCTTACAGTTCAGATGAGGAAGACCTGGAAGCTATTCAAGAAGGTGAAAGAACCATTGTAGAAGATGGCAAAGGAAGTGCTTCCTCCCAGGCAGACTACAAGGAAGAAGATGAAGGAGATGAGATATTGGCAAGAAGACAACGCTATGATTCTGTGGAAGACAGCAGTGAGAGTGAAAACTCACCTGTCCCGAGGAGAAAAAGAAGAGCTAGTGTTGGTTCTTCAAGCAGTGATGAGTACAAACGGGATGACAGTCAGGGATCAGGTGATGAGGAAGACTTCATTAGAAAACAGATTATAGAGATGAGTGCTGATGAAGACGCCTCAGGTTCTGAAGACGATGAATTCATTAGAAGTCAACTCAAAGAAATCAGTGTAACTGAAAGCCAAAAGAAAGAAGAAGTGAAAAGCAAAGCCAGAGGAACAGCTGGAAAACATAGAAGAATGGCACGGAAAAGTAGTGCAAGCTATGATGAGGATGCAGGAAGAAGACATTCATGGCACGATGACGATGATGAGACTTTTGATGAAAGCCCAGAGCCAAAATACAGGGAAACTAAAAGTCAAGACAGTGAAGAACTTGCAGTAACTGGAGGAGGAGGTCTTCGGCGTTTCAAAACAATAGAATTAAATAGTACAATAACAAACAAATATTCTGAAGCATCTGAACAACAGAAAGGTATTTTATATTTTGATGAAGAGCCTGAGCTAGAGATGGAGAGTCTTACAGATTCACCAGAAGATAGATCTAGAGGAGAAGGGTCTTCTAGTTTACATGCTTCTAGTTTCACACCAGGTACATCTCCTACTTCAGTGTCATCACTTGATGAAGATAGTGACAGCAGTCCTAGTCACAAAAAACTGGGAGGGGAGAGCAAACAACAGCGCAAAGCCAGGCATCGGTCACATGGTCCTCTTCTCCCAACTATTGAAGATTCTTCAGAAGAAGAAGAACTACGGGAAGAGGAAGAACTGCTAAAGGAGCAAGAGAAACAGCGTGAATTAGAACAGCAACAAAGAAAAAGTTCTAGCAAAAAATCTAAAAAGGACAAGGATGAACTAAGAGCTCAGAGAAGAAGGGAACGTCCAAAGACTCCACCAAGTAATCTTTCTCCCATTGAAGATGCATCTCCAACAGAAGAATTACGACAGGCAGCAGAAATGGAAGAGCTGCACAGATCTTCCTGTTCTGAATATTCACCTAGTATTGAGTCAGATCCTGAAGGATTTGAAATCAGCCCAGAAAAAATAATAGAAGTACAAAAAGTTTACAAATTGCCTACTGCTGTCTCTCTATACTCACCAACAGATGAACAACCAATTGGACTCCCAAAAGAAGAAAGTGGTCAAAAGACATTGAAAAGTGCCGAAGAGGTATATGAAGAGATGATGCATAAGACCCATAAATCTAAGTCATTTCAAATTGCAAATGAAAAAGATGAAGTATTTGAAAAAGAATCTTTATATGGTGGAATGTTAATAGAGGATTATATTTATGAATCTTTAGTAGAGGATACTTACAATGGAACTATTGATACTAATCTTGTAATGAGACAAGATGAGAGCAATGAATATATACAACAGAGAGGAAAAGAGAAAAAAGTAAGAGCTTCAGAACAGATCTATGAAGAACCACAGAAAATTACTGATCTACAGAAAGACTACTATAGCATTGAGACTTTACATTCTATTGTGCCTCAAGAAGATATTGTTTCTAGTTCTTACATTATCCCAGAAAGTCATGAAATAGTTGTATTAGACAGCGCAGTAACTTCCATCACTGAGGAAAAGCAGTTGTTAGATGCAGAAGCTGCTTATGAAGAGCTTATGAGAAGACAAAGAACGCAGCTAACCCCTGGGTCCAGTCCGACACAACCAACTTCAGGTTTTGTTCCCACATCCGATACAAAGGTATCTAGTGTTGGAGAAATAGTGGATAGTACATCTTTAACATCAAGCACTACTTCAGCAATCTCAGATGTATCACCTGTCAGCAGCACAGCACTTTCTATTCCAGATGTTAAAATAACACAGCATTTTACAGCAGAGGAAATTGAAGATGAATACTTAACAGACTATGCCAGAGAAATTCAAGAAATAATTTCTCATGAAACATCAATGTTGACATACTCTGAGACATCAGAAGGTGCTGCATCAGTTTTACCTTCTGATACAGCTTCCTTAACATCATCTACATCTTCAGTTTGTACCACAGACAGTTCATCACCTATAGACAGTGCAACCACAGGTTATGTAGATACAGCAGATGCTGTAAGTAAACTGGTAGATTCTGAAGGTGTCAGGATAATAACCCAAGTTCCCTTAACACCTACAAAAGAGTATTCTGAAGTGAGCATGCCTTATGAATCTATTGCCGGAGCCACTAAAAAGCCATCTATAGCATCAGATATGGAAAGTGTGGATCAAGCTGCAGTTTGTTTGCTTGAAACTGCACCTTCAGTAATGGCAACTACAGTTATAAAACCCAAGCAATATGCAACTGATGCCATTACCTTTGATACCTCCAAAGCAGAAAAGGAAGCAGCTGGAAAAATGAAAAGTACAGGAGAGGCTGGCATTGTCAAAATTCATCATGAAGATTCACACAAAGAATTGGGTGTTGATATAACAAGAATTAATTTCACTAGTGCTACATCTGAGCAACCAGCTGTATGTATAGCATCAGTACCAGTTACAGAGCCTGCATCAGAAACATCTTCTGTACCTACTCCCAGTGTTGTAAGTAAGGCCAGCATGGTCTTTGTGCCTTCCTCAGCTCCTGCTGTAACATCCAAAGTATTCTCACTTTTTAGAAGCTCTTCTTTGGATTCTCCTGCACAACCTCCCGCCTCCCGCCTCCTCCTCCTCCACCACCTCCTCCACCACCATTACCTCCACCTACTTTACCCAAGCCAGCTATTTATCCCAGAAAGAAGTCACAGATTAAGACTCCAGCAGCAACAGTTCCCACAGTGGTACCTTCAGTCACAAGTGTTCCAACACTAGAGTCCACAGCTGTATTAAAGAATCATGTGGTACCTATCACAAAAACATACACCCCAACACCACCTCCTGTACCACCCAAACCATCCTCCATTCCAGCAGGGCTGGTTTTCAGTCACAGGCCTGCTGAAGTAACTAAACCTCCAATTGCTCCTAAACCAGCAGTTCCTCCACTCCCAATAGCTGTTCATAAGCCAGCAGAAACACAGCCCAAACCAATAGGTTTGTCATTGACTTCAAGTATGACTCTGAATTTGGTCTCTGCAGCTGAATACAAAATAGCATCTCCCACTTCCCCTTTGTCTCCACACTCTAACAAATCTTCACCAAGGTTGACAAAACCCTCACAGGAAACCTATGTTGTCATCACATTGCCATCTGAGCCTGGAACTCCCACAGAAGCTATAACTAGTCAGGCTGTTACCAGCTGGCCTTTAGAAGCACCTTCTAAAGAACCGATTCCCCAGCCTATGCAACCAATTTTTACTCCATCCATGAAAACTATGGAAATTCAAAGTATGGCAGATCAGAGTATGTATATTTCAGGTGCTTTGCAAGCTATTCCTGTCACAACACAATCAACTTTTGACAAAATACCTAGTTCAAAATCAGGTGTAGTAACAACAGAGGTAACCAAGACAACAGTGTCTGTGGTTAAGGGCCCAGTGCCTGGTTATGGTTTAGGAAGTCTTGCTATTACTATGCCTCCAGAGCCACTCCATATAGTAGATCAACCCAGGTATAGAGAGAATGGAAGATTCCATCCTTTGGGTGATGTCATAGATCTTCGCACTTTAACTAAGATGGATATTGAAATGAGAGACAGCTGTATGGATCTGTCTGCTGTTTCCATGGATGTGAGAAGGCAAATGCCAGCAAGTGATACATGTGGGCGGCCAGTAAGTACTGTCCAACCAGCTATAATAAATCTTAGCACTGCATGTGTTGCCGATCCTTCCCTGTCTGTAGTCACTGAGACAGTAACTGTAATGACCTGCACCGCCACTGTAAGCTACACTGCCAGTACAGCCAGCCTTGTGGATCTGGGACATGCGATGACAACGCCGCTTCAGCTAACAACATCAAAACATTTTGAGCCTGCATACAGAGTAACAGGCAGCCAAGCATTCTCTGCAGGTAGAGATGAAGTGCCAATAAATTTATCCCTAGGTACTTCAACACATGCAGTGACATGGGCTACTACGAAGCCTGTTACTGTACCACCTGTTGGTGTTACAAACGGTTGGACTGATCTCTCCACTTCTCAAGAGCCAATGGAGAGTGGAGCAGTTGACCTTAGCACTACAAAATCCCACAGAACAGTAGTAACAATGGATGAAACTACTTCAGGTGTTGTAACAACAGTAATAGAAGATGATGAAAAGCCTGTGGATCTGACTGCAGGGAGAAGAGCTGTCTGCTGTGATATGGTTTATAAATTGCCATTTGGTAGGAGCTGTACAGCACAGCAGCCACCAACTACACTTCCAGAAGACCGCTTTGGTTACAGAGATGACCATTATCAGTATGATCGTTCAGGGTCATATGGCTACCGAGGAATGGGAGGTATGAAACCATCTATGTCTGACACAAATTTATCGGAAGCTGGACTGTTTGCATACAAAAGCAAGAATAGCTTTGATTATCGAGTTGGGGCAACTGATGCAGCAGTAGATCTTACTTCTGGAAGAGTTACTACAGGTCAGTATGACACAGCAGCAGATCTTTCTTTGAAATATAATTTTGATGTTCCCCACCTCATTTCAGGATGATTTTTATTATTTTTCCCCTCTTTCTGTTTTTTTGTTTTCTTTTGGACAGTGTGACAAATTATTCTGGATTACACGTGTTTTTCATTTCTTCATTTTACATATGTGTTTTGCACAGAGGTGCCTGCATGTGCCTGCATGTTCAGAAATGCTGTTTCCTTCACATCTAAAGTAAATCATTAACCTGAAGATTTGCATGCAGTTTCCCCCTCCCATTTAATTCATCAAGATGGGATGACTTTCAGAATCCACAAAGCAGCATTCTTTTGAGGGACTGGACTGTAACTTTGCCCTGTAATTTCAGGTGAGGTTATGGATTACTCAAGCAAGACTACTGGTCCTTATCCAGAGACTCGGCAGGTGATTTCTGGCATCGGGCTCAGTACACCACAGTATTCCCAAGCAAGAATGGTATCATCTCTGGCTTCCCAGTTTGGTGTTGGAAGTGTTTTAAGATCATCCAATGGTGTTGTTTATTCTTCAGTAGCGACTCCAATCCCATCCACATTTGCCATCACTACACAACCCGGTTCTATTTTCAGTACGACTGTCAGAGATTTACCTACTCTCCAAACAATTGACTCAGTGCCCTCTTTATCAACTTTGCAACAGAATCAGCCACTCCCAAGATCATACAGTTTCTTGACTACAGTGGCAGCTGAAAAAGATAGTGCAATTACTGCCATTGATATGGAGACAGGGTTACCACCTCTTACTATAGAAACTATTACCACTGAGCCAACCAACTTGATACCTGCTTTAACTACAGCATCTGAAGTTTATACAGACGTAATTGAAGATGAGGTTGCCCTTCTCATTGCCCCTGAAGAAGGCAAACAGCAGCAGCTTGATTTGGAGCGTGAACTTCTTGAGCTTGAGAAAATTAAGCAGCAGCGCTTTGCAGAAGAGCTGGAATGGGAACGTCAGGAAATTCAAAGATTTAGGGAACAAGAAAAGTTTATGGTGCAAAAAAAGCTTGAGGAGTTGCAATCCATGAAACATCATCTCTTATTTCAGCAAGAGGAAGAACGACAAGCTCAGTTTATGATGAGGCAAGAGACATTAGCCCAGCAGCAATTGCAGCTTGAACAATTCCAACAACTTCAACAACAGCTCCACCAACAGTTAGAGGAGCAAAAAATTCGTCAAATATATCAGTATGGTTATGACCCTTCAGGAACTGGCTCACCACAAACTACCACAGATCAAACACTTTTGGAAGGACAGTATGCAACCTCAGAAAATGGGCAGTTTTGGCCTACTGATGACGCAACCACTACGGCTTCAGGAGTGCTGGGTATTGAAATTCCACAAAGCCAAACATGGTATACAGTTCAGTCTGATGGCATTACCCAATACATACCTAGGTCTGGTATCCTAAGCTCTGTTTCAGAAATGTCTCTTAAGGATATTGATGTTAGAGAGGAGAAGCAATTGAAAAAGAGAAGTTCTATGCCAAAATTACGTGGTCCGTATGAGGAGCTTGAGGAGACCCTGGAAGAAGAGCCCCGGTGCTTCAAAAAGATAGTGGACAGTGGAGTGCAAACTGATGATGAAGACGGAGCAGACAGAGGTTACACAAACAGGAGACGGAGAACTAAGAAGAGTGTTGATACGAGTGTTCAGACAGATGATGAAGATCAAGATGAATGGGATCTTTCTAGCAGATCCAGAAGGAAGCCTCGTGTAGGGAAATACAGTGAGAGTACCACTGAGGCAGACAAAGCTAAACAATTCTCCAAGGTATCTAGTATTGCAGTTCAGACAGTGGCAGAGATTTCAGTACAAACAGAACCTGTAGGAACAATAAGAACACCTTCAATCAGGGCCCGATTGGATGCTAAGGTTGAAATCATAAAGCACATTTCAGCTCCAGAAAAGACATATAAAGGAGAAAGTTTGGGATGTCAAACAGAGACAGAGTCAGATACTCAAAGTCCCCAATATCTGTCAGCTTCATCTCCTCAGAAAGATAAAAAACGCCCAACACCATTAGAGATAGGATACTCATCCCACCTTCGTCCAGACTCCACATTGCAGGTAGTCCCTTCCCCTCCCAAATCTCCCAAAGTTCTCTATTCACCCATTTCACCTGTTTCACCAAGCAAAGTTATAGAGTCAGCATTTGTGCCCTATGAAAAACCCATCACTGATGACATCAGCCCTCAGAAGATGCTGCATGCTGACATTGCCACGGTTCCTCCATCAAGCCCAAAGGCAGCAAAGATGATGCAACGCTCTATGTCTGATCCTAAGCCCCTGAGTCCCACAGCAGAAGACAGTTCCAGAGCTCAGTTTCAGTACACTGAGGGTTTCATGGTAAGAAGTATTTGCTTGCTTTTTTTTTTTTTTTCATTTTTTTTTAATATGCAATTCTACAGCTATCAGTACAGCATGAGGGCTGACACACTCATCTGCAATACCTGTATATGTAGTCTTTTTGCACACCTTGCTGAAAAGTCCCAAGGAATGTCTGCTGTCTAAAGCAATGGTTATTTGCTTCATTGCTTTGCCTGGAAATAGAGGAATCGATATTACAGTCTTACTAAGATGCAGAAAAAAACACAACAAATTCTTGTTCAGAATTTGGAAGTTACTTTATGTTTTACATGGCAATTAATTGCTAACATAGTGGTTACCACCAATTCTTCAGAAAATGAAAAGCATTTTCTTTCTAATCATAAACCACCCAGCTCTTGTGGCACAGTCTGTAGTGCATTTACCGTGAAATTACTGCATGTGCCTTCTGAGAGGCAGCTAACACCAGATCTATAATTACCTTAGTTAGCTGACCTTTTTGACCCTTGTGAGATTTCTTGGCCATTTGTGATTCTGTGGGTAATCTTTTGTGTCCCAATGTGTACATCTTTTACCTCTCCCAGACCAAAAGGTCTCATATCACAATTCCATTTTTTGTTTGTTTGTTTTGGATAAGGATTATCAAGAAGTTATCCAAGTGTTGAGGGCTGTTTCTTATGGGGTCAGGGAAGGCAATTTTGTATAAGGCTGACATCATCAGGAGTAAAGTTTCTCATTTCTGCAGTATTCCTTTTCCTTGAGTAGTAAGATTTCTGATTTGGGAGTCAGTCCATTATTTATGAATAAGCGGAAGAAGTCTTGGCTAACAAAATACGTTTATAATTTAACATGTTCTTGGCTGTCCTTGTGTCCGAGTCCATTCTTTTCTGTCAGTTGCAGGGTCATTTTCTTATTTGTCAGAGCTCTGGAAGAGTTGCCATTTGAGTTCTTCAGCAATTTTTATCTTTTATGTTCAGTTATCTGTGAATACATGAGTGATTAGTACAGGCTGGATAGAATAAAGAGGGTTTGTTCTCTATGTTTGATAATTTGTGGTGGCTTTCAAATGCAGAATTGTCTGGTTATATCCTCCAAGGCTCCCACTGTAAGCAGTTTCTGCAGCTTCACATATTTGTGTGGATATTAAATGCTTACTATGCTGTTACTGCTTGGAAAACAGTACTTGGAAGTTTGAAGGGAAAACTGTAGTCATGGCATTGGCACTCCATATCAACATCATTCCCTAATGCAGGATTAGCACAGTGGGGGAAACTGTGGCACAAGCACTAAAATTTCATGTAGAGGGTTTGGAACAGCATCTTGATGAACGTTGCTCATGAGTTAGAAATTGTTGGGTTCTACTAGATATTGGAGAGGAAGTATAATATTGTAAAATAACTGTCAGCGTAGTGAAGCTATTACTGAGGACAGATTATTCAGTTCACTTATTTCATAGATACATGTATATTTGATATGAATTGTATACTTTATAGGATGGATGATAAATTTTATAAACAGCTGATTGTTTAAAGGCCTTTACAGTAGAGTTTGAACACATACAGTATTCATTAATGAGACATGGAAACAAAGGGCTTGTACATCGTTGTTTATTTTTTACCCAAGTTTATTACCATTTTGCTTTGACCCCAAACACTAATGATCTATATTGTTCTTATTAGCGTGCAGCCATCAAGCAGCAAACAGCTCATGTCTCAAAGTACTTACAGTCTAAATAAATGAAGTGGACATTTTTATGGAACATAGGGTGCCATTAGACAAGCACAAGGAAAGTAAAAAAATTCCATGGATATAAAGTGGGCTGCACTAACTGTGTCATGCAACATATGGTGAGGAAGCGGCTCTGTAAACCTCCCATGATCATCATGGCTGCTTTCAGCTCTGATGTTATGTTAAGCATTAAGTCTGTTATACCCTCTCTTTCTGACAGAGTTTTGTTAATTAAATATCTGAGGTTCAGTTAGCTTAGGCTGGGATCAGGTACATGAAATTTAGAGGAGGAAAAGAGATATATGACAAAAAAAGAAAATATTTACAGTGACACTTAGAGGAAGTAATCTAATGACCTCATCAGCATCTGGAAATATGGTCATAAATTACTTTTGCAATTGCTATATCAGTTTCAGTTCTCAATTACTCTGTCCAGTTATGTTGTCAAGGACAGATCTTCAGTATAAGATCTAAATGATCTCCTAGTTTCCATGAGACTTACAGTATTCTCTCCAACATGTCTATGTTTGTTTATACCAGCTGAGAACCTGGTTTTAGGACTGTAAGATCTTGGAAGCACAGGAAGGAGTGGACAGTGATTTCTTTTTTCGTACCTTTTGTCAGTGTGTCACAGTGGAAGTTCTTCCTGAAAGTTAGCATACACACAGTGTCACTGCTGACAAAGCGTAAACCTTGTTGACATTTTTTCAACTCTAGACTTGTGTTGTTATAGCAATATTGTTGTTATACTTGAGTTTAAATACAGGATCGCTTTTGTATTATCCTGCTAAGTATGAAAGTAACATGTTTCCTCAACTTTAGAATATTTTTGGCACTGGGACTGTTTTTACATTCTTTGTTTGTACAGTGCCCACAACAGCTAAAGTCCTTGTCTGTTAATTCTCTTGTGTACTCCTTTTGTGCCTCCTGACTGGAGAGCTCATAATTGCTTAATTATAAAAAGGGAAAGGTAGAAGGGACCAGTTAATGTCATTCAAAACAATGAATTTCAGTGCAGAAAAACTTGTGAAACAGCACACTCTGGAAAAGAGAATTTACTAGAACTGAACATAAAAGAATAAAATGGAAATGAAAGATTGATCTTTCACTACCTTAGGGAAATGGAGTGTGTATATGAATATTTTTTGCGTGGATGAATATCCCATCACTTTTTTAATAGTTCTTGTTTCAGTGTTATGTCTTTGTCTGCATTCATAAACATTGCAGGTGAAAAGGGTGTTCATGGGTTCATGTATACGTTTCACAGGCTTCTTTTTATGACAGTTTATCAAAAAAGTTGATCCTTACACAATCAATGGGACTAAAGGGGTAAGAATAAAATTGGTGTCTTTCTAAGGATTACAATGAAACGATACCTTGTCCTTCAGGCAATACACTTTTATCATTGATGTACTTCTTCCACTGAAAAATACATTTATTACAACATTTCAAGAAAAAAGATTATGGAGACTATGACTAAGACAGTTAAATTATGTCTCTATGTTTTAGAACTGCTGCTTTAAATATAATTTTATTCTTTAATGCACCCTTTATAGGAAGTTACTACAATGTTTTATCTAATCTAGTATAAGTGAAAGGCTGAAGAACAGCCTGGCAGGTAATCACATAATAATAAGTATCCAGATAATATTGCTTCAGTGATGGCACATTTAATTTCCGGGTAACAAGTTATATGTTTACATTACATTTTCATTTACCATCTATTGTAGTCATTGCCTCTATTTGAACACTTGAATGACCATAGAAGGTGGCTTCCTATTAATCCAAAGTAAAGGTATTGCTTTCCATTATGTTCGCTTTGGTAGTTCCTATGTGCTGTACATTTCTGTGATATGTATTAGTAATCAAGTGTAGCTGTGTCAAGGAAAAATTGTGAGCTATAGGTTGTCAGCACCAAAAAAAGTTGTGGAAGCCACCCATCTGGAATTGATACTTTGTAAAGATACCTAATTTTCCTGTTTTGTGAGCTTTGTGCTGCTTGAGCTCCCAGTGGCAATGAGCTCCCCAACAATGAGTTTGATAAACTGCCCTGCATTCCAGCATGGTAGGATTCCATGGAGAACAAAGCCATAGCAGTGGTTTCCATGAGCGCACTAGGAAGTGTTAGTAGAGTTTGGAAGTGGAGACTGAAACTCGTCCATTCGGCAGCATCAGAAAATTGTGAGTACCTGTCTAGTTTAATAAAGAAATAGCTTTACACCAGTGCATCACAAAATCAAGTCACATGCCAGTCACAGTCAACTTCAGCACTTGTACACATTGCATATGTGTAATCAAAGATGGAAGTTGTCTTCCTTTTGCCTTTGGATGCAAAATGCCTGCTCAACTAAACTGAAGCTAATTGCAAAAGATCTTGCACATGAACTGTCACACATGTAACACCTACAGCTAAGTAATGCATAAAGACTCAGCAGAAGTGTTCGTATTAGTGAAACTAATGCAAAGACACATCTGTCAACAGCCTGTCAGCTTCAGGGTAGGAACTGTACATTTAAGTTTCAACACTTAGAACAAATTCTATCAACCTGTTTATTAAAACAGTTAACAGAGACTTTTCTCAAATTTTTCATCTGATGTGAGTTGCTGCAATTGTAAGGCAAATATAATTCAAATACGTATACTGTAGTAAAAAAAGATAATGATTTCAAGCAAAATCCCAAAAGGTTGTTTCTTTATTTAGATAAGAATTGCAGGACTTCGTCTGTAATAAGAGCAGAAGCAATTTTATACTGATTTTAAAAAAGTGATTTTAAAACTGTAAATTTCCTTAAATGACGTAAATTTAAAAGTAATGAAAACAAAGCACATTAATCTGTGTTTTATCTTCTATGGTATTCTAAAGTTTTCAACTTTAAAACTGAAGGTTAGGACTTCAGTGATTTGGGCTGTCCTTTGCTGTGTCAGACAAACTGTACATCTGGGCACTGAAGAGGGGAAACAGGGTAGTTGTTCCCAGTAAAATTTAAACCTTCCATGTATTATATCCATGATGTTTTGCTTGTTTATTCAGGACTAAGCTGATCACCAGACTTGTATTTCAGCAAGGAATGTTCTGCTTGGTTAATGAATGGAAAGAGTAGGGATAATTACCTGGTTTAAGGTTGGGTATTTCTGTTTGTTTACCTTCCTCAGAAGCAGGGAGTAGGTTTATTTCTTAGTGGCATGCCAGAATTTCAGGTAGCAGGTTTCTGCTGTTGTTGGAGCACAGGACATTGATGTTTCCCTTGGTTTCTTGTTATCTGGGCTTAATTGCAGCTAAAAGGAGTGGGTAC